GCTGAGAAATAGACCCATGTAAATATTCTCAGTTGATCTTTGACAAAAAGACAATTCAATGAAGAAGTGATAATCTTTTTCACAAATGGTGCTGGAACAACTGTATATCTCATGTAAAAAAATGAATCTAGGCACAGACATTATACTGTTCATAAGAATTAACTCAAAATGGATTAACGACCTAAATGTAAAACTCCTAAATGATAACAAGAAAGTATCTAGAGAAGGTTGGATATGGCACCACCAAAGGCATAATCCATGAAAGATAGAATTGACATGCTAGATTTCCTTTAAATAAAAAACTTTAAATTAAAAGCTTTGTGATAAACAGTGTCAAGAAAATGAGAAGACAAGCCATAGACTGAGAGAATATTTGAACAAGATAAAACTGATAAAGTGCTGTTATTCAAAATATACAAAGAACTTTTGAAACCCAAAAATAAGAAAGTGACAATTCAGTTAAAAAATGGGCAAAAGACCTGAACAAACGTCTCACCAAAGAATGTATAAAGAAGGCGAGTAAGCATATGAAAAGATGTTCAAAATCCTATGTTATTAGGGAATTGCAAATTAAAATAATGAGGAGATACCACTGTATACCTATTAGAATAGTGAAATCCAAAACACTGATAACATCAAATGCTGGCAAGGATGTGGAGCAATAAGAACTCTCATTCATTGCTTCTGGGAATGCAGAATGGTACAGCCACTTTGGAAGACAGTTTGGCAGTTTTTTACAAAACTAAACATTCTCTTCTCATATGATCCACCTGAAAACATACGTTCATACAAAAACCCACACACGGATGTTTATAGCAGTTTTATTCATAATTGTCAATATTTGGAAGCAACCAAGATGTCCTTCAGTAGATGAATGGATACATCCAGACAGTCGAATAATATTTAGCACAAAAATGAAATGAGCTATCAAGCCATGAAAAGATGTGGAGGAACTTTAAATGCATATACTAAATGAAGGAAGCCAATCTGAAAGGCTACATATGAGGGTACTGCAAAAAGTTCATGGAAAAGTGGAATTAAAAGATAATACAAGAACATTTTGAAGTACCTGCATACTATATTATTTCTATTATGTGATTTCCAGCAAAGGCAAAACTATGGACCATAAAAAGATCATTAGTTGCCAGGGATTAGGTGAGAGGAAGGGATGAATAGGCAGAGCAGGATTTTCAGGGAGGTAAAAGCGTTCTGTATGGGTACATGTGGTGGGTACATGTTATCGTACATTTGTCAAAACCCATGGAATATACAACACCAAGAGTGAACTCCTTTTTTTTTTTTGCACAACTGGCCAGTATGGGGATCTGAACCCATGACCTTGGGGTTATAAAGCTGTGCTCTAACCACCTGAGCTAACCAACCAGCCAGCCCAAGAGTGAACTCTTCTGTAAACTGTGGACTTAGATGATAATAATGGGTCTATGTAGGTTTTTTTAATTGTAACATGTTTACCATGATAGCGTATGATGTCGACAGTGGGGTAGATTATGTGTGTCTGGGGACAGGGTTTATAGGGGAATTCTGTACTTACCATTCATTTTTGTTGTGAACATAAAACTGCTCTGAAAAAGATCAAGTGTATTAATTTAAAAGCAAAAAGGTAGAAGAGGGGTAATATAACTTGTAAGGAAGCTTTTCTTTTTCTTTTCTTTTTTTAACAAGGTTTTTATTTTTTACATTAATCAAGGAAATGATAAAGTCAACACATAGTAATGAAAATTATTCTGGTGAGAAGCAATCTCTTAAAACCCCTTATGAAGAGGATACCATATACTTCCAGATTCATTGTTATTTTAATACAGAGATAATCAAATGCTACTTTTGCATTACATTAATATTTGGCAGTAAAGTATCCATATACTCTTTTCTTCTTGTTTATACTATGAATAAGCCTTCTTAAACTGAGTGAATTTTATCAGCATTTTATAACTTCATTTTGGTTCCAGATGTTATAAATCAAGGCAAATAATAATCACTTCTTCAAACCTTTCTCAACTTGCTGTAACACACTTACGTTTTGGTCTTCATATGTTCTTTTATGTTCTGTAACAACCTTTCACTTTACTGTAGGTCTAAATTACTGTCTATTTTTTTTGAAAAACAAAAGGTCACCCTATTATTACATATATGAGGGGGGTCTTCAAAAAACTTGTGGAGAGATTTGCTTTATCTTTTAATTCTATTTTTTGACAAACTTTTTGAACATAATTATAGTTTTTCTTAATATTATTTCTTCTTGCCTGGACTCAATCACCCATGTTAAGTTTAAGTTGTAGTCTGGTTTATTAACTTATAGTTAACCTTCCGTAGTAGATAGGAAATTCATAGTAATTGCCTATCACACACCAGCAATTTAGCTGACCAGCAAATATTCTCTGCAGCCAAACATATTATTTTTATGTCTTCTTAAAAATGGCAAGAATAAACACTTTCATTAACATGATGCAAGATTATAGTAACTTTGTAACATTTTAAGGTAAGAACCAGAATTGTGTATATTTTAAGATATATGCTTGATGACTAAGGGTTTGAAGATAAGTATCTTGGAAATTATGTTTAATTGGACACTCTGCAAAGCATAATTATTGATCTAAAAGTATGTCAGAATTATGAGTTTAGTTGGAAACAGTTTTATACTTTTTTATAATTTTTAAACTTTATGTAATATTAGCTTATCTGATCAGTAAATCATTATTAGAATTTTAGGTAGTTCAGGTTAACTAGTCTCTTCATTAAAATACAAACTTACACCTTTACAAAACTATGGAGAAAACATAGCTATGTATGTTAGACTAAAGTAATCAAATTAGCCTGATATGCCCAAAGATTCACTTTTATTACATGAACTTGAATTCTTATATAAAAATGTTTATGAGTTGCTAGCAGATTGTGTAAGAAGAATTTTTTTCTTAAATGACTGGCATGTTTAAAGTTTTCATTGGATCCTGCAGTATTAGATTCATGAATTGTTTATTATATTATATAAACCAATTAGGTCATAGCTCCTTAAATTTTAGAGTCTTTATAACTTTATTTATTAATAACCTTCTTAGGAAAATATCTTATACTTACACAATGAGAGATAATGGCTTCTCTCAATTATAGCAACAGAGAATTTGTAGCTTCAGTAAGTAGCTTACTTAAGGAAGAAATGTAAAAACCTCACCAATCAAGATTTCAAAGGACTGTTTTTCTTTCTAGTAGTTATGAAGTGTTTTATGAAATAATTTGAAATCACAAATGGAGAAATAAAGAATTAAGAGGAAAGCAACCCAAATTCTGTCTTTTCTCACATGAGAAGTAATAATAGATACCCATAATCCCAAAAGAGGTCTGCAACAGTCAGATCATAAAATTACACTCCCAGTTATTGCTGCTACCAGTGGGGAATTGTTATTATTATTATTGTATTCAGCAGCAGCAGCAGCAGCATCAACATGATGATGATCATCATCATCTAATGCAAACTAGATCCAGAACTCAAATGGTGAATAGCCAGAAAAGAAAATGAGAAGTGGAGAATTAGAAAAAAAAGTACCAACCTGTAATGGACTAGAATGTGAGCAGAGGTAAAGTTCTCTTGCTTTTTGGGAATCATTGTTGAAGACTAAGGAAGTTGTCTGGGCTTAAACAACTCATGAAGTGCGTTCCTTTGGTAACAGTTTGATTGGCTTTGTGAGTTCACTTGGCCAGCTCAGTGGAACCTGCAATACTATTATAGGCTAATGTACAAAGAATGAAAAAGATGACTTTCATAAATATAAAATGAATATGTATCAAATATGCATCAAAGATGTTATTCCCTTATTAATTAGGGAACTAGTGAGAAAATAAATGTGGTTCAAAGAGCATTTTAGGAACTAGTTATTTAAAGGCAAGTTAATAAAGTTAGAATAACATAGTCGATTTAGATATAAAACTGGATAAAATTCTACATGGCAATAAACCATGATCTTTGGGATTATACTTGAAAGTACTTGAATTTATCCAGGACAAAAATCTACAGATTAGCAGGGAATTTAACTATACCTATGCCTTTTTTTTTTTCCCCCCTTTTTGTCTTTTTCCGTGACCGGCAACCGATTGCAACCCTCAGTGTCGCGCCCGTACCGGACCGGGACCGGCCACGGGATCGCAACCCTCGGTGTTGCTCCCGCACCTCGCTCAGCCAGTGAGCGGCCGGTCTGCATGTGGGATCCGAACCCTCGGCGGGAGCGCCGCCGCGCTTCCCAAGCAGCGCACTGCAGCAGTGCGCCACCGGGCCGGCCCTACCTATGCCTTTTAATCAATATTAAACAATGGGTCAAATAAAGTACATTCCTCTTAATTATTTTTGCTTGGATCTGTTAAATAATGTGCCCATATTACATTGAAATAACGTGTTGCCCTACTTTTGGTTTAATTTTCAAGCTTTCAATAACTTTTCTTAACACATGGCAGCAAACTATGACATACACCACACTTGCCAGGGATACTTAGTTTTCATAGATGGGAAGATCAATATGATAAAGTTGTTAGTTCTCCCCAAGGAAATCTTTAAAATCAGTCTAATTTTATTAAAATCCCAACAAGTGTTTTTATACTACTTGGCAAATAAACCCAAAACTAATTAAGAAGAGCAAAGGATCTAAAAAACTAGCTCAGACAAATTTGAAGATAATGAACCATTTTAGGGGAATTGACCTATGAAAGGTGAAAACTAATTATGAAGCTTTATTAACTAAGACAATATAGTATTGATGCAGGGGTAGACAAAGAGACAAATAACTAATTGAGAGCCCACAGACATGTCGATGCACATTTGAAAACTTGACAGAAGGTAGCACTACAAATCAGTGAATAAAAGATAGGCTCTTTATTAAATGTTGTTAGGCCAATTGTTTATGCACTTGAAAAAAATAAAACTAGACCGCCAACACATTATAACAATAAAGAAAAATCATTTCTAGGTGGATAACTACTTAATGCAGAAAAGCAAAATGTTAAAACCTTTAGAAGAAAATATAGGAAGTTTTTATAACCTTCGGGCAGAAAGGTATTTCTTAAACAAAACATGAAAAATATCTACCTATAAATGTGATTATATTTAAAAAAATTATTTTTCTAAAAACCAGCATATTTTGAAAAAAAGTATATAAAGACAAGCTGCAGATTGGGCAAAGAAAGGTATTTGCAACATGTTTGAGAAAGTATTAACATACAGGATAAATAAGGATATTTCAAATAAATCAGTAAGGAAGAAGACACTTAACCCAGCAAATGGATAAAGAAATGATCTGACAATTTGTGGAAGTAGGCAGATGACTCATATGGAAAATGTTTACCTGCACGAGTAATCAGAGAAATACAATTAAAATCATAATTTGATATGATGTCTTTTTGCATCTATATGATTGGCATTTCTTATAGAATCTGATCGTGCCAAGTATTCCTGAGAGTGCGGAAATTTGTCATTGTCTACTACAGTTGAAAATGCCTATATTTTTTGACTCAGGAATTTCATTTCTCGATATATATATTCTGGAAAAACTCACATGTTTGTAAGAAGCCATATATGAAATTGGTTATTATAGTAGTATTTATAATAGCTAAAATTGAAAACAGCACAATTTTCCATCTACAAAATAATGAATAAATATATTTTGGTGTATTCATAAAGGACAATACTATATAGTTGCTAAAATGAATTAGCTAGAATTGCATTTATGGTAGCCATGGATAAGTCTGAAATATAATGTTGAGTGAAGCAAAATAAGTTGTAGAAATAGAAGTAAACTTCATATTTTCTGAAAGAATACAAATGTATACAGACTGTGCCTATTTGTGCAAGCATATTGTTTCTGTTTCAAAAAGTTAGAAGAAATGCTAAACACCAAAATTACTATGGTGGTTACCTCTGGAAGCGGTGGAGGGAATAAAAGTAAATACAAATAGTAAAGGGGCTTCAACTTTACTGTAAGGTGTTAATAGTGTGTACTGCTCATAAACATAAATAAGTTAATACACACATACACATGAACATTACATATTTGAAGTATACAACTTGGACAGGAAGATTTCCTATAATTCCTTGTGATGTTTTTCCTTGGACAGAGTAGATATTATAAGGGATTAGGTATTAGGCCCAAAGAGTATTTCAGTTGGATCTGTTATGTTTCATGTAATTAATTAAGGACAAAAGGATATAAATATGTCATACATTTACTGTTATCATTTTTTTGTGATATGAATATGGATGTTTGGCAAACTGAATTTAGTATTACTCTTTTCTGTCTTTCAAAACAATCTTTTAAAAACATTAAGCATTTGATTAATATCTGGAACCATCACATAAAAGACAAATTTTGGATAAATAAGAGTATCTTAAAAATCAAGTGTTTTGTCAGTTTATTTATTGGGAATGATAATACATTATCATAAAATTAATTATGGGTAATTTATTTTTTCTTCCTAAAGAATACAAGTCAATGACCAAATTGTGGAAGTGGATGGAATCAGCTTGGTGGGTGTCACACAGAATTTCGCTGCAACAGTTCTCAGAAACACCAAGGGCAATGTCAGGTAAATATGTTTATAATTTGGTTACTTTGTATTTTGTTGAATTTATTTATAGTATTCTAGAAAGATATGAAGACAAGCGGGGTACACTGTGCATCAATATGGTTAATTACTGAGCTATTTTAGTGTACCTTACTGCTAATAGACTCAGAATTGCTAATAAGATAGAATTGCTAGTTATAACCTCAATAAACATGGATTTAAGCCCCAAATCCTTTTAACAAAGCCAGTTATACAATGAACTGAAATTGAAATGACTATACATACATTTAATAATACGTGTAATTTGGACAAGTAGGCTGATTGACATGAGGATAATAAATGCATTTTAAAAATCTACTTATTGTTATATAGAATTAGCCAGGACCAATCTTTGGTGAACTATAACTTTTCCAACTTAATGGGGCAGAAGGTACATTCTCTTGGACCTTGAAAATTATATCCAACCCTGAGGTTTTGAAAATTGTAGGTTGGGAAACCATTAAGAAAGCAGTCCTGAGCCAACTAAAGTCAAAGTTTGAAATCAGTTTTATTTGGTCATATGTTACTTATTTTTTTTAAAGCATTGCTGTGTCTTATGCTTTTCCATAAATTCCATGAAGAAACTCATTAAGGGAGACATTATTTAGTACGTGTAATTATGAAAGTGGTTTAGTGTTCTCATCATCAAAATGAAACTGCCAAATGTTCTGAAAATATTGCTGGGTTAACATTGCTGTAAAGAGGGCAACATTAGGATTTTATTACAGCATGTTTTATGTTGCACAGCATGAATTTAAGTTTTAGACTTCAGACTTTTTCAACTGCAAAGCATCCTTTGATGCTGAAGAGATGTTTTAAGGAATACAACCTAAATGATTTATATGAGTGTTATGTTGATGCTTCCAGAGTACCCACAATACTGATAAAAGTTTGTAAAATAAACAGTGCAGGAAGAACTGTGTTGCTCTCTCAGAGGTGTGATTGTCTTTCTGCAGATTTCTGTGTGTTCTTGAGATAGCCCTTTCCCATGTCAGTATAGAACTTGGTTTTTGAAGCTGCCCATTAGACTTTAAAATAAATTTTAAAATGAAATATGTAAGATATACATTCAACTTATAAGAATATTTCTCAGTTGGAAAAGTATTTGTCATTACATAAAGTCATAGCATCTCTTTCTTTCCCTTCTGACTGTTGACCACATAATTTTGTGTTATTTCAAGCCTTGTACAAATTGCAAATGTCTTCTTAACTGGTCTCCCTGATTTCACTTTCTCCCTTCCTCAGTCTGTCCTCTCATCATTATCCCAATGGAGGAACATAATTGCAGTTTTTAAGTATATGAAGGGCTGTCATGCAAAAAAGAATTGGCCTGTTCTGTTTAACTCCGGTAGTAGAAGAACTAAGACTGTGAGCAGAAATAATAATTCTGCATCCATCACATCTTTCTCCTCTTCAGAAACCTTCAGTGGACCTCCATTCTGTGTAGAACATAACCCTTTAGCCTAGTATTAAACATCTTTCATTACCCAGTCTTATCACTTCCCTCCCCTATATTCATGCTCTGATACAGATGAGCTAGTGTGCATTATTCTTTCTCTCTGCCATTTTTTTTCCTGCTTAAAATACTCTCTTCTATTTAGAACCCACCTATCCTGAAGAACATATTGCAGCTCCTTTGCCCTCCAAGAAGGCCTTCTTGACCCCTAGCCCCTAGTGACCTCTTCTTCCTGATAAAACTCTTCATTCATACCACTTTTTTGACCTTGAGAATACATAGCATTTTACTTTTTTCTTTTAAAGGCATATACCTTATTTTCTTACTCACTTTGCAAAATCTTGATGTAGACATGGGATTTTTGGCCTACTTTGCACTACCAGGTTATTTAATCCAGGATCTTAATTGATTAAAATGACATAACCCAGTGTCTTAATTAATTGACTATAAAAAGTCTTTTCCCAAGGTCTGACAGGGTGCTGTATCATGTCTTGAAACTATTCACGGATTCATGTTTGTATAACATCATTTGCCCCTAGTTGGTACATTTCATAGCATTGACCGAGGATCAGTACCATGCTTCAGGCAATATCTGATCCATTTGAGTCAGCATTTTGAAAACATTGCTGTCTTTAAAAAAAACTCAATTTTTTGAGCAAGTTCAGGTTCATAGCAAACCTGAGCAGAAGGAATAGAGATTTCCCATGTACTCCCTGCCCCACACATGCATAGTTTTCTCCCCCATTAGCAACATCCTTCACCAGAGTGGCACATTTGTTGTAACTCATAAACCTGCATTGACTCATCATTACCACCCAGAGTCCATAGTTCACATTAAGTTTCAGTCTTGATGTTGTATATTCTACAGGTTTGGGCAAATGTATAGTGACATGTATACATATCACACAAAGTAGCTTCACTGCCCTAACAATTGTGTGTGCCTCTTCATCCACTTCTTTCCCTAACCCCTGATCTTTTGACTAACTCCATAGTTTTGTCTTTTCCAGAGTGTCGTACAGTTGGAATCATACAGTATGTGGCCTTTTCAGATTGGCTTCTTTCCCTTAGTAATATGCATTTAAGTTTCCTCCCTGTCTTTTCGTGGCTTGATATCTTATTTCTTTTTAGTACAGAATAATATTACACTGTCTGGATGTACCACAGTTTATTTATCCATCCACTTACTGAAGGATATCTTGATTGCTTCCAAGTTTTGGAAATGATGAATAAAGCTGCTGTAAACATCCATGTGTAGGTTTTTGTGTGGACATAAGTTTTCAACTCCTTTGGGTAAATACCAAGAAAGAGCATGTTTGCTGGATCATATGGTTAAGTGTATATTTGGTTTTGTAAGAAACCAGCAAATTGTCTTCCAAAGTCACTGTGCCATTTTGCATTCCCCTCAGCAATGACTGAGAGTTCCTGTTGATTCACATCTTTGCCAGCATTTGTTGTTGTCAATATCCTGAATTTTGGCTATTCTAATAGGTATATGGTGGTGTCTTTATTGTTTTAATTTGTATCCCCCTCCATTGTCTTTTAATATGTACAGTTGGTGATGAAAAGTTTTGTGTTAATCTGATTCCTAATACTTTATGGTATTCTGTTTTTTGCTCTCTTTTTTTAGATTTTTCCCCTCATAATTGGGTCTTTGAGATTTTACCAGCCTGTATCTAGATCTATTGTACGTGTTTGTTTTTGCATAATTCTGGTTGGAATTCAATCTGAAGACAGGGTTGGTAAACGTTCTATTATTTGATTATTTGCTTTATTTCTTCTTCATTGATTTGATCTTCTCTTCTTAAATCAGTAGTAAATGAGAATTAGATTTCCTTCCAGAATCTTCTTTTCTCTAAGGATTTCCATCGGTTAGCATTTTTGCTAGTATGTTCTAAGAGTTTCTTCAATTTTATCTTTCAGGTTACCAATTATTACCAATTATTTGTCAGACATGGCATATTTTAACTGATCTGTGCCTTATTCTTCATTTTCAGTTTATATCTCTAGCTCTGTCTCCTTTCCCCAGAGCTTGAGAATAGTATATCCAACTTCCTGCTTGACATCTTCATATGGCTTTCTAAAAGCCACATCAAATATAATATGCTCTAAGTATTTTCCTTTATTTGTACCATTTCTGTCTGTTGCCCTCCTAACTGCCACCCCCCAACAGAAACCCTGTATCACCTGATATCTACTTGGTGGTTCCTCCTTTTGAAGTCTCAGTTTAAAAATCACTCTTCAGTGAATGAATTCTTCTCATATTATACTATTTATGTGGTCCAAGCCCCAAGTCAGTCTCTATCACATTATTATGTTTTTTTATATAACATTCATCTAATGATCCTCTTCTCCTGCTATTGATGATCTCTTCTGTTCCCCTACCATATTGATTTCTGTCAGATGATTAGATTATGGAGGAAGTAATTATCTGTGACTTCTGAGGCTAGGTTATAAAAGGCATCGTGTCTTCCACCTTGGCATTTTGGATCACCAACTCTGGAGAAATTCAGATGCCATGTTGAGAAGGCTTTCAGACATCCTTCTGCAGATACCCACATGAGGAAGAACTTAGGTCTGCCAACAGCCAGCACCAATTTGCCAGCTATGTTCTGTGGCACCTTGAAAGAACATCCTTGAGCCTTAATAAAGCATTTGGATGACTTTAACACCCAACTAACATCTTATTGAACATGGAAAGTAACAAGCCAGAACTGACCAGCCAAGCTTTCCTGAATCCTTGATCACAGAAACTACTGAAGATAATAAATGTTTATAAGTTTAGGGTAATTTGTGTCAGGAAATACAGCTTATACAGAGTTAGTACCTGGATGTGGGCTGCAGTTATAACAAAAACCTATAAATATGGGAGTGGCTTTGGGATTAGACTTAGCAAGGATGGAAGGACTTTGCAGAGACTGTTAGTGAAAGCCAAAAAGGCCTTGCAGAGACAGTTTGTGGAAACCTGATGGCTTGTGAGGAGGCAGCGGGTGAGGAATTAAAAGAAGAAAACTGAAAATGTTATTGTAAACTGGAAGAATGTTGCTTTGCCCCCCACGGATTTGTCACCCCTCTTCCCCTGGGTGACAGAGCTGTAAAGGATTACTAAAAGCCCATCTCTTCTGAGCAGTGAGAAGCCCCAAAGTGGTTAACTTCCCCGGAACCCTCAAGCGAGAGGCATTCCTTCCTTGGGAAATTAATCCTGAATTGGGGTTTTCTTCCTGCATTTATTCTCCAGCCTAGGAAGTTATAGCAAGAGACATAGGTGGGGTTATAGTTTAACAATATAGGCTGGTAACTTTCAGTGAAACAAGCCAGATGACATTCCAGTAAGGCAATTAAGTGATCCATTAACAAAAGCTTGATCTTAGCAAACATTCCCTCTTACAGCAATTTCTCAGTATCTTTACATATCATTCAGTAACCTGTTTGTCTTTGAGCCAGCAACCTTGCTGCAGGTTAGAATTCTTTATCTTACACCAGAGACTTTAAAGCATGAGGAAAATTTCCTGTCCTTTGCAAGGTCAAT